ATCTAAGAGAGGTCTACCCAAGGTACATATACACCAAGTATCAAAGCATTTAGGCTTGTAGTTTTCAAGAAGAAGTCGAAAAAGTAAAACATTGACACAGACGACGGACGACGACGACGACGGACGACGACGGACAATCACTCATATGATAAGCTCCGCTCGACAAAGTCGACAGCGGAGCTAAAAATGAAAAAATTCCTCAAAAAAAATGAAATTGGTTTAGCCTGGAATCTCTGTCACTTCCAATAACTTGTAGACCAATACCATGAGTGCATAGCACAGATGATTTGTTTAGTTTATAAGTTTTGCTTAAATGTATACATCATGTACTGTATATATGGTGAAAATTCTTTCGCTTCATTCGTTAAATGCAGCACACAGAGAATTTCCCAGCAACAAGCGTAACCCAGATGATGACAATGTAATAATTTCACATCAACCAATCAAATGTACCTGACCGTCAATGTGTCCATTGACTGTAATCGCATTCTGGAAGACATTTATTTATTTAACCAGTATTTATCGGATTAAAGATGCATATCTCGTTTTCATACTATCATTTCATGTCAACAGGAAAAAACCCAATTACAGACTCAGAAATGAGGAACAGCACTCAAACATGTACATTTATTGAGAGAATTAAGTCAGTTGTCCAATGGAAACCTCTACTTTAATTGCAACAACAAGAATAGGAACAGGACACAGAACTGTCAGCTTCACAACCCCTCTGAAAGTATATCTCCAAAGCGGGCAGAATGTACTGATGTGCAGCTGACCGTAGGAGTTGAATCCACAACTTCCCTGATGTTAGACAGACATGCTAACCATTAGACACATCAGATGGAATGACACTGAAAGAGTTACATTGTATAGAATAGAAAGCAATAAAATCAACTAGAATATGACTTTACCTCTCTGGTTGCTCTTTCAACAAACATGTGATCTGTTTTCTTAAAAGCTTCCTTGAGTGCTGTTTCAACATCATCATTTTGAAAACCTTTGTGGTGTACTAGATGACAGTGTAGATGTGCTGCAGCATAATGTGAAGCATCTACACCACCATGGCCATCAAATACAGCATAGTATGATGGTTTACATGGTTTCTATAGAAACATAGCAAAGATAAATGAGTCAAAATCATGATGGTTTGCTTTAATGTTTTTTTTTAAATGCGTGTCTTTTGTACATTGTTTAAAGGTTATTCAAGATGAATTTCAAATTTTAAGGCTTTTTAGCCAAACAAATTATTTGCTTTCATATTTGGGCAAAAAGCAATTGTACTCGCAGTTACAAGAAAAATCCAATGAGCATGAATGGTTTTCTAGCTGGTCTACTAAAATCATAAATACAAAGTGATGCGACTTTCGCACCTACAAAACACATTCGTTGTTCTGCAGGGCAAGGACAAATGTAGGGAAGGAAATAAGGCCAAGAATAAATTACGTTTCAGATGCCAGTTAAACACATCCCAGTTCTTATTAAAAAAATCATAAATTTTGGAATGTCAATTTCAGAAAACAAATTGAACAGAAATTTAGTTTTCACCTAATCAGACATAATACAAATGCAGTTGTATTTGCCACTGTGTATTAAGTATTAACCAGTGAAATATGATATGAATTACTACTACATTTGGAAATTTGAGGCAAATGACCTTTTATACAATGATGCAATGCACAGAGAAAAAATATAATAGTCTCTCAAAATTGTCAATGCACAGTAAATGTCATGGCATGACATGAAAGAGTCCTTGATGTTCAATAGTGAATATAACGAAAATGAGTCAGCCATAGACAAAAATGCATGTTAATATGTATAATGAATAATGTAGTTGTAAAGTTTGTAATCAGTCTAATATTGTCATAGGTATGGCTCTGGAACAACATTCATCAATACAAAATAAATCAGAAAAACAAAAAGACATGCATCAAGGTAAAGTCAAATGTATGGTGGAAATGCTTGATTTTGTATAATTTTAGCATAAAAATGGGTGCCATTCAGCCATCTTGAAGTCAGACACGTCCAAGATATAGGTGCGGTTGCACACATGAACATACAATGCACACACCGACATAACATGGGTATGACATAACAGAAATATACAAAATAGTTTATATTTTAATATCAGAGTTCTGTTCAATTTATTTGGTTTGCCTTTTTGTTATCACTTGAATTATTTATTTCCCAAATATGTTCACAATGTACTAGTATTTCACATTAGAAATAAGCTTATTGAACATCAGACCAACCAATTCAATTCATAGTATATTTAATAACTGGTGACAATATTTAAATCAATATGTGAGAAACATCACTAACATATCTCACTAAATAATTAACCAATATCACAAACAAGAAAAGTTGAAAAATGCCACACGTGCTCCTGATGTTAGTTCATGAGAGGCTTTTGACTGAATTCCAGCTAATCGAATGTCATGAATGCTATTTTGTGAGTTGCCTTTTCTGATGTTGTAATCTGACCCTGTAGGTCTGACAACCTAGAAAATTCTGTCACATAATTTTAATCCTATTAAGTATCAACAATTTGGCTAGTGAGTTTTCTGATATACTAATTTACTGAAACAATGATATTCTGCACAGGAAGTAATATTGAATTGTCTCTATTCAGCTGTCTTGAATTCGTACTTTCCCTGACCACGAATTGTATAGCTAAAACAAAATATACCGGTATGTATCAAAATCTTAGAACAAAGAGGAAACATCATTTGGTGTGAAATGCAAAACAGGGTTGGAACAAAATGGTATTGAGATGAAATAGCACTGGAATGAAACAGCTGGGAACTGCTTCAGGATAAATCAACACCCCTCCGATCCAGAATGTGTGTGACCACTTGTCAGCATCAGCAATTCTGGTAGGTCATCACCTCAGCCAAAGCAGTTGTGAGCCAATATTTCTGAAACTTGCTGTAACATACTACAATACAGTCAATTACAACCTCGTTAGTAACAAGATACTTACTTTTGTTGAGAAAAGATAATCTAAATTTGGAATTATAATGTGCTTGTCTTCCATCTTCCGCCGCGTATTCTTGATGGCATATGAAGAGACTACATGTGACATTCCAGGATACTCTAATCTCGGAGGATTATCATTCCATTTCTCACATATTTCATGTACTTTACTGAACACCACTCTTGCAAACCTCTCAGCATTGATCACTTTGAATAAAATAATAACATTTACTGAAATTATTATTTCAATTAATTTTGATTCTGAAAAAGTAAAAATAATATTAAAACCTTGCAAAATATATTTACTTTTTAATGGGGCAGGAAATACAATTTGTCAGCAAGCAAGTTTTCCAAGTTGTTCTTTTCTATAGAATGTTATGCATATTTATCAGTTTGTGAAAAATATGCCTGAAATAACACCTAGATGATGTATGGAGGTTTACTACAATTGCACAATAAAATAAAGCACTGATATAAGGCCCATACCAAAATTATAATGTTTGTGGTTACAACGATAACCAGTTAAAAATGTGTGGGTGCTATACTCTTTTTATTGATTTTTGCAAGAATTGAAAATTAAATATCATGAAAGTCTAAATAAAAACACATTTTATAACATTTTTAATTATAAATCATAAATCAAAAAATGGATTTTGGAAAACAAATCAACCAGAATCTTTTTTTCTGTGTTTTAGTGGTATTTTCTTGCATAGATTGCA